CAAGACTATATTAGCCTGATCTAATATGGTTCTCCTTACTTGACATTGACTTGAGGTGGGCAGTGTTTACTAATTCTTATTTGCCAGCTGAGTTGTAGTATGATTCACTGTGAAAGGATAAATAAATTTTCTGGTGTGAATTGAATAAAGGCAACTCAGAAAAGTTGCCAAAAGCAGAATTTCCCTTCCAGGCTTAAATTGCAAGCATTTATGTTTGTAGGCATTAGTTATATGATTGTTCAGTAAAACAACTGCTCTCTTCAGAAGTACTAGCAATTTTTGTTCCCAAGGCTGTAACTACTAGCTGGCTGATTCCAAATAGTGTTTGCAATGTATAGACACCAAAGTTACACAAGTCAGTTCTGTGGATAGGTTTTCCATAAAAACAGATACCTAAGAGACAAAACTGCTTGTTGTTATTTTATAGAACCCAGTAAGGTTCATATCAAGGAGAGAGCTGGCTGAATTCACACTGAATCTGAGAATTTCCCTGAAACTTATATGGAGATATATGTAGAGACAGCAGCATACCCTAGGACAGCTTTATATTAAGTCTGCAGGATTTAATTATTGAGGTTTCACCCAATGATATTTTGATAAGTGATAAAATAAAAAAAAATATCTTTTAAGTTGTGCAGCCTTAAAAATCCAATGAATAAGTAAATGTGAGAGGGGAAGGGGGAAAATTCTTTAGATATTCAAAACAGTCTTTTGTATTCTAGTCAGGCTGTCATTTTTCAGATCTTTGAATTTGAGATATCTTTGATTTTGCTAATTATACAAATCTTTTTTTTTCTTTGCAGACAGAAGGCTTTGAAAGCTTTTTAAAAATCTACAACCAATCGGATCAGAGACAACAAAAATGTGCAGTTGCAGCTTGAGAGTTTTTGTAAAAATAATAATGGAATAAAATGGAATAAAATATTTAAGGTTATCCTAAACCAGTTTTTCTCAATCTTGGCAACTCGCAGAATTCCCCAAAGTGCATGGCCAGCTGGGGAATTCTAGGAGCTGAAGTCCACATGTCTTAAAGTGGCCAAGGCTGAGAAACATTGCCCTAAACCAACCTGTGCTCTCCAGCCTTGTTGGATTAAATCCCCATCATTCCCAACAATTTTATTACAGGTCATGAGAAGGAGTGGGAGTAGAGCAAGCATCTATCTCACCCATGCAAAAAAGAATGAGAAGGCATGGTTTTTCACTTTGTTTCAATACTAAAAAATGGGGAAATTGCCATATCATTAAACTAATGTATAAATGGGCTATGAACTGCTACACTAGTATGAGATGTAAATTTGGTACAGCAATTGCTTTTGTTTTGAAATGATGATGGTTGGTAATATATACAATCATAAATGAACCAAAACAAACAAACAGCAGAGGGGGAAAAAGAAAAAGAGAGGAGGATACAAGACAAGGCAATGACCTTCTTGAGAGTTTGACTGTTTCTTTATTAATTATGTAAATAATTTTTTTCTCCCTCCAAAAGTGGCTACTGTTTTGCTGCCTTGGGCATCCTACTTCCCTTTTCTTCCTTTATTGATGATGATCACCTGCTTTTCATTTATGCAGTAAAGGTTTTCTCTCTTCCAATATGAGGCATACAGTTGTGTACCTTTTGCAAAGGTACAGATTACTGCAAGAAGTGATTTATCGGAGCACTTCTTATTTACCACTTTGCAGGCATGTGAATGTGCTGCACTGACATGAATATTGCCTGCTCACTTGATTATGGCTCAGAAACCAGAGCCTGTGGCTTCTGATGGAAGCCTATGTGAAATGCTAAAGTATTTTTTAACTCTCCTAAACATTGGTTAAAATAAAGGCTGGCTTTGTTTTAAATGCAGATGCATTCACAGTACTAGAATGACTTGCTAAAGCAGTGCTGTTTTCTTAGTAAATATCTTATTTATATCAGCATGAAAATTGGTACATTTATCAAGGCTAATATGAGAGAAGTTTCACATGAACTATATGAAATAGCAGACAATGAAACGGATTCCTTGTTTAAGTTATAAAATGGACAGAGGAAGATATAGTGTAAGGGACATTTGTGGAGTTTAGAGTGTACTAGAAATTTTAAAGCAGAAAATGCATAATCACTTATCAGGAATGTTGTATCAAAGCTACAGGCATTCAACGGCATGGATTATAAGACTGGTCTAGATAATGTGTATGTCTTCTAATGATATGTTTTTTTATGACAGACAACAAGTTGTGATCATTTACAATTCAGTCATATAACTCATCTCTTTTTATTTGTGGTAGCTTCAGTCCTCATTTATTCAATATGTATACATGATTGGCCTCTGGCATCTAATGTATCAGCAGCTTTTTTAGCATCAAGTGCCAAAAGCTGATATCAAGCAGAGATCAGTCAAAATGCAGTATATCAGTTACAGTAGTTATAAGATTCAGTTGGCCTTTGAATGTTATCTAGACTAACATCTTACTCTAATTTGCCCAGAGACTGCCAAGTGCAATAACTGTATAACTATATCTTCCACTCTTTGGATACAGAATATGACAGTTGCAGTAGGCTCTGGATCCTTAGGATATGTGCACTATAGTTCCTTAAAAGTAACTGCACATGACACATCTTCAAAAAGGAGAAGTGAATTGCAGAAAACCATCACAATTGCAACCACAGAGTCAGTTTGGTGTAGTGATTAAGACACCAGCTAGAAAGTGGAAGACCGTGAGTTCAAATCCTACCTTAGCCAAAAGAACTAACTAGATGATTTTGGGCCAGCTCAATCCACCTCACAAGGTTGTTATTGTGGGAAAAATAGGAAGACGAAGATATTTTGGATATGTTTGCTACCTTGAATGATTTGTAAAAATAATAAAGGAAGGATACAAATAAAAAAAGAAACCTAATTTTCACATGTGAATTGTAGTTTATGCAAAGAGCCTTTACTTGTCCAAACAAGGAAACTCCACAAGGAGTTTTATACTAAAAAAGTATAAATCACGCAAAGGGCCCTCTGCATGTAAAACATTTATACTGTATATTGTAATATACAAGCTGTAGTCAATTTGCTTTCCTCCAGGGCAGAGGTTCCCCAACATCTGGGTTGAAGCCCACTAGTGGGCCGTGAGCTGTTTGCAACTGGGCTGCGGAAATGGCGGGTGAGTGTGTGCACCTGAGTATCCCCCATGCATGAACAGAGGGTGAGCTTGTGCATGTGTGCTCCATTTGTGTGAATGGTGGGTGGGCATGCACGCCGCTCATGCAAATGGAACTGTGCATGCATGCACTTGCCAGCCACTCACGCAGAGTGATCCCCCCGCCACACACACACACACACACAAACACACACTGCCAGGAACTCTGCTCCAGGGGACCCAAGTTAGAATTGTAACTTCTAGAATTTCCATTCCCATACTTGTTGGGAATTCTGATAGCAAGTTAAAGCTAAACTATGGTCTGTCTATAGAGTTTGGGGTGGAAGATGAGACTCTGTTCCTTTCCCCCGTCCTGTCCATTAAACATACTCAGTCGTTTGAGGAGGATTTGCATACAGGCTACCTAGGTGAACACCTGCATTGCTAATTGTTACATATAATCAACCAACAGAAGCTCATATTATTTTCTATTTGGCTTCGCAAACATAAGATGTTGCTTAATGCAGGCCTTTGATCTATGTGGCTGAGTATTGTTGACTTTATACTGACTGACAATAGCTTTCCTAGATTTCAGACTGAAGTCTTATTCTGATATATGTCAAAAAGATCTTCTGGGTGTACTTGGCAACATCAAACTTAAGAGATAAAAATCAGAATACATTGCCAAAATCAAATTGAAATAAAAAAAACAGAAAAATTGTCCAGAAAAGAATAAAGAAACTAGATATTATACATAGATAGTGAAACAAGACATGCTGTAAGAAAACAATCACCATTGAGAAGGATCCAAATACAATTTTAAAAAACCCAACTCTTAGGATGGGTTAATTTGCCTTCTGTCTTTTGAGCTGCCAGAGAAATGTTTTTAAATTTCTCAATTATTATCTATAATAAAAGTAAATATATATTGATGGAAAGTGGCTAGGCAATTGTGAATTAGACAGTTCTTAATTCAGGTCTTACTTCTGCTGTGAACTCAGTAGATGTTTTAGGCAATCCATTTTATCTTAAAATCCTCATATGCGCTATGGGACATACTGAAGTTGATTAGATCATTTGTTATGCTGTAGCTGTGATAGGTAAAATTACATTGCTTGCATATCCCATAGATAATTTACATATTATTTTAATATGCCCTTGGACAAAAATAGCAAATCTGATTTTGATTCATGGAATTCAGGCATACTGCTGTGAAGTTAACAGGCTATTTTACTTATGACCAGCCTGGACTATTCTTAAAGCAGCATTAAATTCCAGGTCCACCTTCCTCAAAAACAGGAGTGCTTCTGTTTTCACATAAAGCAGCCATACACACTTTTTAGACAAAATGTATTACAGGTTTACTGAATTATTAAATTGTACCATTATAAATCTGATGGAAAGAGAAGGTCATTGAGCATAAACCTGAGTGTAACAAAAGCAGTTTCTTCAGCATATTTTGGTGAATATATACTGTATTTTGAAATTGAAAAAAGACAGGATGAAATAAGACTACACTAACTAAAATACAATGAAAACATTGTGTGAAACATGAAATGCAAAATCATCCGGCTCATCATAAAATGCTTGTATTTCTGCTAACTACATTCCATTGTTTGCTTAAGGATTCTTCTAGCAACTGAAATCAAACCAGGGGGAAAAAATCTATCCACAAAATTTATATCCTCTTTCCTTTTTGTGAATGGCAGATGCTTTTTAGAATGTCAAATAGGTGTCTTTGCAACCCTTCTTGGAATGTAAATGATTAAGCCAAGAACCTTTTGCATGAAAAATCTGTGATCTGCTATAAAGCTATGACTGTTTCCAAGAAGGGATTTGGTTAAGTACACATGTCATTTTTAAAGCTTCTAGATTATCCATCCATTACTTACCCTGAATGATGCCTGTCAATATCACTGAACAGTTTCCACAGTTCCTCAGAGCTGAGGATGCCATCAGCACAACAATTCTTAAACTCTTCAAATGACAGCTTCCCGTCATCTACATTTAAATAAAGACGTGGAATAATTATATTTTTCTGAAAAGAGAACAGGATGACCTTTCTATCTAGTATGCTATATATAGATTAATACAATATATTCCATATCAGGAGAATTTTATTAAACCCAGGTCAGCTAAGAATTGATAAGCCTCTGTTTAGCAACAATGATTGGGGCAAAGCATCTTCCCCTCAGTGTGATTGAGGGGTCTCACGTCAAACTGTAGATCACATCATGACCAGCTGTAAGCTGAGGGCACAGACCAGTCCAGTATCTGATTTCTTTTAATACAGGTACTCCTCAACCCACAACCACAATTGAGCCCAAAATTTCTGTTGCTAAGTGAGACATTTGTTAAAAGAGTTTTGCCCCATTTTAGAACAGAATAGAGCTGGAAGGGACCTTGGAGCTCTTCTAGTCCAGCCCCCTGCTCAAGCAGGAGAACCTATACCATCTTAGATAAGTGACTGTCTAGCCTCTTCTTAAAAATCTCCAGTGATGGAGTGCCTTTTATGACCTTTCTTGTCACACTTGTCAAGTGAATCATTGCAGTTGTTAATTTAGTAACTCAGTTGTTAAGTGAATCTGGTTTCCCCATTGACTTTGCTTGTCAGAAAGTCACAAAAGGAGATCAAATGACCCCAGGACACTATGACAGTCATAAATATGAGCCATTTGCCCAGCATCCAAATTTTAATCACATGACCATGGGGATGCTGCAACAGTCATAGGTGTGAAAAAGGATCATTAGTCATGATATTTTTTCAGGTTTTGGGGGTTGTCTTTATATTTTAAAAAAATATAAAACCTGAAAAAAATCATTAAAACCATTTATAAAATTAAAACTATTAGCTACACAAACATAAAACATTTACAATAAATATTGTAAATAATCTGTGGTAAATTACATTTACAAGTGTATCAACATCAGATCCATATCACTATTCAGTTTTAACATTCAACACAATAACCTTGAGTAAATTGTGAGGGGAAAAAAAGATGAAGGCTTTCCTGTCCTGTCATGTCCAACTCTAGAATGTAGTGGTCATCTCCATTTCTTGGCCAAGGGAGCCATTGTTGTCCAAAGACATTTTCTGTGGTCATGTGGCTATACAACAAAGGTGTACAGAATGCTGTTACCTTCCCACCAAAGTGGCATCTACTTATCTACTCACATTTCTTACTTTCGAACTGCTAAGTGGGCAGGTCCAAAAATAAAATAAAAAATGTATAAAATCAGTGTAAACACTACTTTTTAAAAATCCATCTTGGTGACAGAGCTGATTACAGTGCAGCCAGAGGTGTCTATAGAGAGGCAGGTTGGGGCAAATGTTGATATGTACATCATGATATCATCATGTGACTTATGTACTTGTGATCACACATCACGTCACATATACTAAGCGGTGTTATTTGCCTTATGATGTCATGGTGTGGTGTCATTTTGAGGTCCTTGTACTTGTTACTGATTTTCTTGAGTTTGGTCTGCTTTCTTCTTAAGATGGAACTTCCAGTTAATAAACAAAGAGGTCCAAAGTATAGGATCATGAAGCTTAGTTAAAATTCACTCCTGAACATGTTAAATAAGGTTGGTCTCAGTTTTCCATTTAAAAATTGGGAATATCATGACAAGTGTTGTGTGAAACAAAATAGAAAAGAAGCCTTGCAAAGTATATTTAAAATGAAGCAAACATGAATTGTGAAATAGATTTCATCAAAATAACTTTGAATAAAACAACATCGAAGTCATAAAGTTCTGAGCAATTTCTTGGGAGTGAGAGGGATTGAAATATAGGGAATCTAAAGGCTAGAGAAGAAACCTAATGCCAACAGAAGATAAATGGAATGAATGGATTGACTGACGTAGAAAGAATGACTGACAGACAAGACAACATATTTTTTATGAATAAGGGATATGATATGAGCAAGCATTATCATGGTAAGCAGAGGAGAAATGCATGAAAAAAAATCTAGGAATTAAAAATCCACCATGGGTTGCAAAATAGGTTGCTAAGGCTATAAGTATATTACATCATCCCATAGGCTAGAGTTTATTTATTATTAACAAATTTAGGCAGCATTGAAACTTAGTTTTCATATATGACAACCTTAACAGAAAAATTTGGAAGCTGTGAGGTTCAGTATAGGATGTAAATCTGGGATCTGAAAAAAAGAATATTCAGATCCCCATAAAACTATAGGTAGTCCTATGCAGGGCTTTTTTTTCTCATAGAACGCCCAGAACGGAGTTCCGGCACCTTTTTTGGATGGAACCTTTTAGGGTAGGCAAGGCGGGTTGTATGACGTGTGTGAGTTCCAGCACCTTTTTTTTTTTTTTACAAAAAAGCATTGGTCCTATGACCATTTGTTTAATGACTGTTCATAGTTATGACAGCACTGAAAAAAAGTGACTTAGGACTGGTCCTCACACTGATCCATATGATCACGTGATCAAAATTCAGGTGTTTGGTCTTTGCAACAATTGTAGCATCCCAGGCTCATGTGATCATCATTTATGACCTTCCTAGAGGGATTCCAACAAGCAAAGTCAATGGGGGAAGCCTGATTTGCTTAATAAGCACATGATTCACTTAACAACCACGGTAACAAGATCACAAACTTGGTCATGCAGCCACTTAATGACTGCATTGCTTAGCGATGAAAGTTGCATTCCCAACTATGATTGTAAATCAAGCACTACCTGTTATTACATTTTCTGGATCATTTTCAGCCAGTTACTGTCTCTCAACCTAATCTTGTGACGAGAGAAAATTGGGGTATGAGGGAGAATTGTATCTGTCAGCTTGAGTTTCTCAGAGGAGAGTTGGAGTAGATTTTTTTTTTCAATTCTGTTTTAAAAAGGATATTCTAGAAAACCCAGGATTCTATTAGATGTCTTGATTGCCCATCTCTAGCCTTTGAAATAGGAAAGGCTGTATAGTGGAGTCCCTGAGGCACTCTGAGCTTAATTGTTTGCTTGCTGACATTTCATTACTTAGCCTCACCAACACACACACCCCAACCCTACCAATACTGGCAGTGCAAGTTACTTATAGAAATAGGGGGCAAACTGAACACTCATAGCACTTGTTGGGTAATAAAACTTTTGCAAGCAAATAACTGAGCTCAGAGAGCACAAATACTTCACAGTTCAAACCTGAACTACATATATTCTATTCAAAAGACTGTATAAACAACTGGCATTGCTTAAAAAACAATCATGTATTCATTCACTTACCATTCTTGTCAGCTCTTCGAAAAATCTGAAAAGAAAAACATGTTTTCAAAACAAGCTTTGTATATGCATATCACTATGTGCATGTCTGTGAATCAAAACCCACCCATGTTCAAGATACAAAAGCATCTGCAGAGTAAACCAATTCCATTGATGTGTACAGAACATATAAAGCCAGGAGACTATGTGTCCTTTTAAAAGAAGACAGCTCCCTACTTAAACCTGCTCTCTAGATTAAGGACTTTTATTACATTTCATTTAATACATAACAGTTTTACATTTGTACTCAAAATTTCAAAGTAATTAAAATGAAAATGTAAATGAAGACAAATAGATTTTTTTTAAAAAAATTAAAATGATAGCATATTATTACTCTATACAGTCATTAAGAGTAGTTGGTAGTAAAAGAAATGCTGAACATAGAAAAAACGCTTTTGTCATCTCTTGTAATCCATGGATTACTGCAATTCATTTTATACTGGTCAGCCCTTGATACCATTTGTAATCTACAGTTGGCCCAGATTGCAGCAATGTGATTAGTACCAGATTCAACTTGGCTTGCCCATGTGACATTAATACTTTGTTAATCCCACCTTTCTAATTTTTCATGGCTTAGGACCTGAGTATTTCCAAGACCATCTTCTCCAAGTAGAACCTTCTTGTCTAGTTAGATCTATCAAGAAAAGCTTGTCATGGGTCCTGAACCCTTGGGAGACCTGTTACCAGGTACCCCAAGGTCGAATCTTTTCCTGGGCAGATCCCTTCTTCAGAATAGCATATACGCAGAGATCAAGGCAGCCCATTCTTGCTTGTGTCCCACACAGTGGCTAAGATCTTGCAGTTCTGGAGGGCTTTTCAAGATGATGGGAATTATTAAATCACTGCTAAAAATAGATTATTGAGTTTATAATAAGGAATATTTTTGTCTTGGTTATGTTATGTTTTGGATTATTATTGTATTTTAATCCTATTTCAGTACTGTAATGTTCTATAAGGCACTCAGAATCAGTTTCAATTGGAATGTCATATAAATCCTAGTAAGTAAATAAACAAGTCATTAGAAGGAATATTCACATTGTGCGCCTATCTGATCTCAATGGATATATCATTGTACAAAGTAGGAGCTAAAACAGAGAATTCCAAATTATACTGTAGAACAGTTCTATATTCACTATGTGAACCTGTGGTCCATATGCTACATTAGATCAGGATTTCCTACAGTGCACTGTTTGATACACAATGATCTTCCTCATGACCAAATTCAATGTGCTATTCACAAGTCCTGGAGCTGGTAAAACCTATTATGGTATAAAATTTGCTACTCTCTTCTGGCAATCCTATTATGCTAAGATATAATAACAATAAATGGCACTGTCTCTATTTATCCACATTGAGATGGATTTCCCTGATTTTGTTTCACTTCTATCCCACTAAATGTCAGCAGCTTGTAGAATATATCACCAATCACTTTCCTTGACATGGATTGGGCAGGGGCTGGGATGGAAGCGATTTTGTCATATAGCTAGACTGGTGGATTTAGTCACTTATCTAAACTCTGCCTGATTTTACACAAATGTTTTATTGATTTCAAATTTTCAACAACTTTAAACAAAGAAGATTTGGTTTCAAATATACCATAATAAAAGATGACCTACACTAACAGTTATATTTTGCTACCAAATGGAAAAAAATCCTTGAATCTAACAGTAGAAATGCATAAATTCCTTGACCACAAACAAATCAGGAAAAACCATCTTACCCCATTTTAAAGATCAACAATTTTCTGTTGGCATAGGTTTGCAGAGAGATCAAAATACCTGCAGAAAACTGTAGTTATTTCCACAATGGGATGTCCAAAAAAATCACAATGGTGGCCACAACTGTATAATTTGGAAATGCCATCTGCAGATGTGTGTCAAAAAAACAAGATGACACTTCCAAATTATACAGTTGTGGCCACCACTGTGACTTTTTCAGACATCCCATTGTGGAAATACCTACAGTTTCTTTCCCAGATGAAAAAAGAGGCAAGCTTCTAACACCCAAATTTTCATAATAGAGATTCAATGTCAAGCATTGAATTTTCTCTGCCATTACCTGTTCTGTGTTACCAAGAACCAAAGTCTTCTGAGTAAAGATACTACATATTTGAAATATATACAAGACTGGCAATGCATTTGTTACAGAGTTAAACTCACCAGTATGCAAAAGGATTAGGGGTATAATCTCTGGCACCATAGTGTTCATGAATGTGTGTTTCATTGCATGGAAGCTAGCAATGCCTTTAATTCAGTACAACACAGGATTGTCTTCTGGAGATAAGGAAAGCTGAATGCAGATAACAGTTCAGGCATGATATAAGGATTTACATACAGTACGTAGCCATCATGCATACCCTTTTCTACATGAACAGTGGCATTTACAACGAAGACATGGAATAAGAAATAGCAAAACAAGGACATGAAATACACGATATAAGAAAAGGCAAGAAAACATTGGTAAGCATTGTTCCTACCAACCCCATTCACAATGCTTTTTCATGCTTTTCTATCCCTGCAAATCATCCTTACAAATATCCCTATATACCACTTCTCACTTCTTTCTTTTGGAGAATAGTTTAGCTTTCTTGTTTAACCTACTTCATCCACTTCAAAAAAAATATGCTTTCTTTCTTTTCCCCCAGAGAACTTTATTGAATTAAAAAAAAAGAAAATACAAAAGAAAAAAAAATTCAGTCAAAAATCAGTTTGCATTTCCTTTGTTCTTTTAACTGTTCCTTGCTATCTTTGGTTACATTTTTTTGCGGCAATCTTTTTTTCTGTATAAGCATTACACAATACCTTTCTCTCTTTTTCATTTTTAGAGCAGTTGCTTTCTTACACGCATTATCCAGAGCCTTTTTCATTTCAGTGTTCTACAAAAATCAGATTTCATACTTTCCATGAGTGCAACTCTGCACACTTCTGTGCATAATTCTTTCAATTTGGTACAAGCAGTTTCCCTAACCTCTTTCCATACATGCACTTTCCATTCATTCTGTTGAGCAATTAATCTATTTTTTATGCTGTTCTTATTTTCTATTTCGGTGGTGGTTATATTTTACTCTAATTTATTTCAGTTTTTTCCTTCCTTCTACATCACTGCTGCCCAAGTCCACTCTTTCTACTACCCAAACTCGATTTGCCCCACATTCAAAGCTCTCTGTATCCTGCACTTACATTCTCAAGTTTTGCTTCCTTTAATGTTTGCACTTATGAATAAATTAATACTCCAATTATATATTTGAAACAAACAGTCCTTTTTCTAAGCAAATGCTCACCAAACAATTACCGTTCTTATTCACTCTTGGGCCTCCAAATGGCCCAAATATTTTTTCAATATTCTCTCATCTTGATCCATCTATAATTTAACAGAATACTCTTTCTCCCTCTCTGGACCCCATATATTCAGTAAATTGCACATTTTTTCTTCAAAACGCACATCTGGTTCTGTTATTATTATTCTCTTAGTAGTGTGTTAAGTTAAGAGCTTTAGTCAGAGAATGAAAATAACTTTATAACTGAGTATAGAACACAGCTGAGCTTCTCACAGCTGATAATTGTCAAGGTTAAAAAAGTCTTATCTGTAGTCTGGGCTTCCAGCCAAATCTCCTTTAGACAATAACAAGTTGTAATATCAAACCTAGTCACAAGATGTCACCAATACCATTTAAGGTTTTTTAAATCCAAAATTTTTATAATTCTTTTTCCAATTTTATTTCTTTTTTGTAAATAAAAACCAAGATCTTCGATAAAGGTAAGAAGTCTTTTGGTCCCCAAATTTTAGAAGCATATAGATCCAGTTAGATTAAAGTTATTCTTAACTTCCCTGGATAGTCAGTCGCCGCTATTGTTAGAGGGTGGAATAAAAGTTCCCTTCCCTCTCTCCTCACAGGGGGGAAGATACTTTGGGTAGCTTTTGCAGGAGAAAAAAAATACTGGGGATTAAAGAGAGGTTCAGATCTCAACCAGTCTCATCTGCGCTACTTTGGAGTGTCTGGTGGTAAGTTTGACTTTGGCTGTCTGCAGCCTAGTGATGAGCCATATTTCTATGGCCGGTCTTTCATCTGCCAGTTTGGAGGGCTGCCCCAGATCAAGCAGAAGAGCTAATGCCCTCTCATGATCAAGCAGGGATCCCCTCCTTGCTGGTCGCCCCTACAGGGTGACTTTGGACCCTTTCCAGGGTTCCCCACTAGTGCGAAACTGAACACGGAAGATGGAGCTCACCTTCCAGTGGCCGCGATGGCAAACTGGAAGTCTCTTTTATTATTATTATTCATTGGAATATATCATGCTGGTATCATTAACTTCTGGATCTTACTTTCATATACATTTACAATAAACTAGAGGACATCATCCACAGGTACATGGAGCATATAGACCAGAATTCCATAAGAATGCAATATTTAGATTTTCATGATCATTTTTAAAATGGAAATAATAGCAGGTCCTTGATGCTCTCTGAGCTTAGTTGTTTTCTTGCAGATATTTCATTACTCAAACTAGTTAATATTATCAGTATCTTGGACGTGTCTTTTTCTTCGTCAAAACAAATAAACAAACAAAACAGTCCAGTTGTCTTTTGAAGAAAAAAGCACCTTTGAGACAACTATGACCTGGATGACTGAGAATCTCCACAGACATTATCAGTGCTAGTAAGGAGTGAGGTTTGCTCTCAGTTTATGTTCCAGTGTCTTGCCCTATCAGTGTTGGTGGGGATGGTCTTAGAGATTCTTTGTTGGGCTGTTTACTTTTGGCTTCTTTGGCCATTCCTGGATTGGGGGATGGTTTAATTGATCGTTAGTCTGATGTTAATTTTAGAGTTAATCTATGCTCATCTGGATGCTGATTGCTGGTGGAAAGGTGTTTTGGTTTTTTTCTTCTCTTTTTCAACCTTGAGCTACAAATAGCCCCTTTTATTGGAATGAATGGCTACTGCTGAATAATATATGAATATGGTAATCTTAAGGGGGAAGGGGAAGCAAATAAT